TTGTATCATTTAACTGTGTCCTCTTTTTAAATTTATTTCACTTTTCGTACTCATGACTTCGTAACGAAAACTATTCTTATCGAATTTTATTATTTTGCGTTTTAGTTCTTCAGAAAAAAAAAAAAAAAAAAAAATGAAAATTGACGAGGATCGAATTCGTTACGAATTCTTTTATCATTTATTTTATGACAAATTTCCTTTTTCTTTCCCCCGACAACCGAGACGAGTGAATTGGTAGTTCCAACTGGAACTCGATCTTGTCGTTTTTCGTGGCTAAAGATAATCTTAATGGCCTTGTGGAATTGGACGCCGAGCGTCGCGGCGGTCTGCAAAAAACGAGCAAAGGGAAAATCGCCCTCCAAGTCAGACCGAGTAAAAATAACCGGCTCTGCCTTTCGGCAAAATAACTCTACGATTTGGCTTCCTTCATGGATCTTCATAAATTTGTCGCTCTTTGACAAAGGAGAAAAATCTTCTTTACTTTGAACCATGAATTTCAATACGCTACTAAGACATTCTTAAAATTAAAATATTACATCTACACCATCAAAAATACACTTTATACAAGCTATGCCAAAGAAAAAAAAAAAAAAATAAATAAATAAATAAAAATAAAATATGATTCCACTTGAACGAATTCAGACTTAGCACAGACCGCAACCAATCGGTGTTCTAGGATACCTTTGGAATCGGTGCCGGCCGGTGATCGTGGGTAACTAGAGGTGATTAGATGTCAGCACCGCCGCTTCATTGATAATGGGTCCGCTGAATGAGCTCCCCGCTTATCACTCGTTTATGATAGAGAAATAGTAGGGGAGCATTGCCATTGACACAAGACCAAGCCTCAGTTACCCCGCGTTTATTCGCGTAAACTAGAGCGCTCATAGCGCTCGGTGACTTTTTTTTCCCGAGTTACTCCGTCAAACGAGGGAAGTGACGAGAAAGGAAAGACTCTCGAGGATCGCGATCCAGATAGGACTCGCGACCTGGAAGTCCTTCCTGAGTCCATGCGGAAGCACGTGGTCTAAGGTCAAGGTGAGACTAATAGAATTCTCGCGTGTCTTCGCTTCCTCCTCTTGCACACTTTGCGCTCTACTCATCATAAGTGCTAATGTTTCCATTAGGATTGCCCGTTTCTTGCACAGGTTTTTTTTTTTCGTGTTGTAAATTAATCACACGAACACGTTAATCAAACGTTATCGTTAATCAAATCGTTACGAATAATCATGTGCTTTTATTGCATATCGAATTCATTTCACTTCTTTATCTTTTTCCTTTTTTTTTTTTTTTTTTAAATATGCAACTAATGCAAATATGCAATATTAGCTTTTTTTTTTTTTTTTTTTTTTTTTGGAAAACGAACGTTCTTTAAATCAATGGATTACGGTAAGTGAAAAATATAATTTTATTGAAATAATATAGATTTTAAAATATTCAAATAGAAATATACTAATTATCGTTAAAATAGTTTCAAATGGTTTTTATCTCCTCCTCAGAAATATTAATTTAACGATTCTTTCATTATGTACGTATTCGTTTTATCAATGCAGAAATAGCCTCGAGTAAAATCATTTCGAATTGATCGAGCCAATTATACACTCACGTGTATAATTATTTTGAAAGTATCGATGGCTTTGTATACGTTCGCGTGCCACTGTTACAAGTGATTATTATTATCATCATGGAAGATGTTTTTTTTTTTTTCTCCGACATACACCACTGTTGACAATTATTTACCGGGTTTCTCGTATACCTACAGTTTTATCGTGCACATGTGTCGGGCGTAATAACATTTGACTTTCAAACCAATAACACGTTCCTGCTTTCGCGTAACATCCAACGAAAAGGATTCGTATTACATATCTCTATATCTACATCTCGTTACATATATCATATATATATATATATATATATATATATATATATATATATACACACATTTATATAAATTTATCGAATTTTACATAAGAAAAAAAATTATTCCAATTTCCTTCTCTTCGTTTCACGATTAATTATCCAAATTTATATTTCGCAAAATCAAAAGAAATATTGAACAAATATCGAAAAAACTCGATTTTCCTTTCTTCTCGAATAAAATTTTTTTGATCTTGAAATTTTGATCTCCGTCCTTAACTTTGCCTATTTCGATTTCTTTTCACCGCGTAACACTCTATTATAAAGTTAGGTCCGCGATTCTTCGCGTGCTTCTCGTAGCACGACGAGGCGGAAGTAACAATCGGCTGGAACTCCGTATTAATGCAGTCTCCGAGCGTCACAACGAAATCTATACCCAGTTAAATTGCAATTGCGTAATCATCTCAGGTGCCCGTGGTATATACTCGACAATTACCAAGGAAATCGTTGGTAAATAAATCCATTACGTCGTTTGACTTTTAGACTTTTAGACACGGATGAAACGAAATCTCTTCTTTTCTCCTTTATATTGATCGCAAATAAATCGGATGGGATATATCGGTATCGTGAAATATTTTATTCGTTTTGGAATTTCGAAAACACGTGCGTTGCAAATCCATCACACGTGATGTATTTCTCGCATTGAAAGTACCGTTTATAAAACGTGATTAATATTTATGTTCGTCACGTTTATATATGAAATCGTTACGAGAAAAGTAGATCTCGTCAATTCAGAGTTTTTT